TTCCCACCCAGCTCCACCTCAGGAAGCAGAGGGAAACTCCAAGCGGGACTCAGCCCAACACCGACATGTCCTGCTGCCCTCCAGGGATACAGGCAGGTTTCCAGCTCCCCGACCCTGCGCTAATGGGGGCATCTGGCAGATTCCTCAAGAGGCCACACGGATTCTTATTTCCAGACAGCAGGATCTGCAAATATCAGTTCTCTGAGGTGGAAGGCAACCAGCAAAGCAGATTTACACACATGGCGTGAGTGAAAAACCCACACTGTTGGTACTTTAGCAACACGCTACTGGTTGTGGAAATTTTGGGTAAGGCAGCTAATGATACACAGGCAGCGCTACAAAACCCATCTTCCTTATTCCAGGAGAAGCCACATTTTTTGTTCACCAGGGACTTGCTGAGGAGTTGCGGGTTGTTTCTTTTAAAGCAGGTTGAGGATAAAAAAAAAAAAAAAAAGAAATCTCAGAACAGCATGACTATCATGAGAATGATTTCTAAAGCAGGAAACATGACAGCCCCACACCCACAGGAGCAGGAGCAGCTGCCACGCTCGAGCTGTCAGCCTCGCGCTGCAGGTCTCATCCTGCACCGCTCAAGCTAACGGGAGCTTCGGCATCGTCTTCCATGAGCAAGTACGGGATGCAAAAAAGGTCAGAACAAGGGAGGACAAACACCCAAACGGCATCACCCAGGTGCAAAAGAATTCACACCCTCACCTCGGAGCAGGAGCTGCAGCGGTAGCGCCTTACCTGAACAACAGTGTCACGGCCATCACAGCCTCTCAAAATTCGGGAGCTGGAGCACCAGGAAAGGACCCCACCAGCAAGGAATATTAGTGATTAAAACCACCTCTGACCTCACCTGAAGTCACCTACAACATGACTTCAGTGCCTCCCAGGCTTTGAAAGCTAGAAGAGACATCTCTGCTTGATGATGTTAAAAGGAGGAAGAAGAAAAAAAAAAAAAAAGAAAGAAATCAGAGCAAGTTGTTTCACTTTTAACTGGAACATTTCCACCTGCCCACCTCTTTTCTGCTCAAAGCTTTGCCAGATTCAGTGGCAGTCTGTGCCTGGCTTTAGGCACAGGCAGCACAGGGAGCTGCTTGGTGTCAGCAAGAAAGTCGCAGCCCCTTGGCCACCGCGGCGGGAGGCCCAGGGTCGGGGCGGGTGGTTGCAGTGTCACAGCAGCAGCAGCTGCAGGGTGTCCTCGGGGACCGCTGCTGTTCCTCGGGGTCAGAACCAGCTCTTCGGGCAGGTCCCTGCAGCAGCATGGCCGGCACCAGCCCTTTATCCTGCATCTGAGAAAGCTGGGAGCAAGTGGGTCTCACTGAGGTGCAGGAAGCAAGCAGCAGCACCCCGAGCAGGGCAGCCTCTGCCCTGCTTGCAAGGACTGCCCAGGAGCCGCGTGCCAGGCAGGAAAGCAGCTATTCCCAACAGGAGGTCAGGGCAGGAAAGCAGCTATTCCCAACAGGAGGTCAGGGCAGGAAGGCAGATCCCAATAAAGCAACAACTCAGCAAGGCCAGAGTTCCCATAGCCCATCTCACACTGCAACAGCAAAAAGAAGGTACTCTTAGAGGTGAAAAAGAATGAAAATATATGCATATTATATATATATATATGAAAATACACATATATATAAATACAAATACATATATATATGAAAAACACGCAGCTGCTCCCAGCTCTCCTACTCCCCTCCTCAGATGGAGGAACTCGCGCTACGCAGCGAGCCCACAGGATCTGAGAGTTGAAAGAGCTGCTGCTGTATCAACCTTTTTTGACCTTTTGCCTTCCTCCAGGCGCCATGTAAGATCTGATGCACTGGTTTGTTCATTTTCATATCGTGGCTCGATGCAAAAGGTCACCCTCAGAGTCGGTTATTCACAGCCAGGATGTAGGAGTGCAAAACCAGAAAGCTACTATAATTACTGTTTCCCTACCCGTGTATTTTCAAGTTGGCAAGATACGTTGTAGAAAATATTTTCTGGAGGGATGCAATCAACCATAGAAAAATAAAAGTAATAATAAAAAAACCCTACAATGTTCGATTTTATTTAATTTCATGCAAGAGCTCCAAGGCACAACCACATGCCATCATTTCCAGAAGGGAGCATGGAATGTCTTTCACAAACAACAGCCAGGAATATTTGTAGCCCAACTCGCAGCTTAGATATGACAGCAATGGCCATAGTGAAAGGCCTAATTAACTCCCACTGGCTTCAGAAAAGTTCCCAAATTAGAGACAAAATAGATGCATCATTGTATTACCTTAATTTGTAGTCACCTCCTGCCTTCCTGTCTCAGTCACTCTGGCAACATTACAATCATCACAGCACTCACAGCAGCCCCTCTGTCTAAACAAACACTGGAAAGGTGAATCTCTTCCCCTGAAAAAGATACTGCAGCATAATTAGCAACATGTACTAAATGTTTGTAATCCAGAATCATTCGCCACAAAAAAATAAGCTTAAGGAGCATCAGGTCTACAGGACTCGACGGCGTACGGCTGTCAGGCTTCTGCTCAGAGCAAAGACAAAGCAGACGAGCAAATAGGCTGCAATCAGAAATGTCAGACAGTAAGTCAGCATCAAGTCATGTTTTATATGCACCAGAAATACATTAGCACAAGAAGCACAGAGTGTAAGATAAGATTCCCTGCAAGAATATTCTACAGTTTATTTCTTGAGCTTGATCTTTACAGCACAGATATGCTCAGTACTTTCAGTAGCCTCAGACTGGAAGATTAGAGGACTTGTGGAAAGGGATCATAGGGGCCTAGACACTCACCTGAGGCGCTCTAAACCAACACACATGCACACACAACACACCCTTCCAGCTTGGAGCCTGGCAAATCATCCTGCTCCAAAGCTAGTAGGATGAAAAAGAAGCCAAAAGGCTTAACTCAAAGTGCCAAAAAAAAACGCTCAGGGGTATTATACAACTTCTGCAAGATACAGCTTACATCCGGCAGCTGGTTAGAAAAGCTGCTTACGACATGAAGACTCAAGACTGGAGATGAATTTAGGTTAGCTCCACAGCTAACCTGCCTCTGCAGGCTGCTCGCATGTTGGCTTACATGCCCTCACGGAACAGAGCCAGGCTGCTGAGACCTGGGGAGGAGGAGGAGGGAGAAGAGAGACAGACAGACAGACAGGCAGACAGACAGACTTTTTTCTCTTTTTTTTAAGCAGCTCTGCATTCTCCAGGCAGCACAGCCAGTTTCAGAAAGTGGAGGCTCATGATACAAACACAGTTGCCCATTTCCCCCCATCCCCTCTGCACATCGATTCATTTCCACATGCAAAACACAGCTGGGGAACAGACAGTTACATGCACTCAGCTTTAAGAAAAGAGTTAAGCCTTTTCTTAAAGGCCTCTTTATTTTTGAATTCCTTCAAAACATAAGTTAATTTTAACAAATCAGATGCAAAACACCTGCATTTTAAATTAGCATATATTTTACTGTATCAATCACAGCAACCTCATACAGTAAGATACACAAAAATAGAGCATGGTATCACTTAAATTCAACACAGTTTTGTACTACAGTATTCCAAGACATATATACACAGGACTTTTCTTTTTCAAAGCAAGTAGAGTCCCTGCTATGTTCACCGTATAAATTACGTGGCATCACAGTTTTAGTTATTTACTGTAGTGTGAATAGCCATATGGAAATTGAACTAGAAGATACATCCTATAGCAGCCAAACAGGCATGACACCTCAAAAGATGAACAGAAACAGAGTAACCACCAAAACGAAAACCACCCTTAGACTGTATTTTAAAACTTTTCAAATTCATTATATACATAATGTATCTACATTTGTGATATATTTATATATATATTTATATATTTATAAAAAAACATACAAGATTTTGAAAACCTTAAAATCATTCACGCAAACAATATTCAGCCCAACCTTCAGGGTCAGCAAGGTAATACTTGCCAGGAACATCAGTCACTTGATTCGGAGTTGTCCCTGATTGCTAAACGTGTGTCGTCGCTCACTGTGTTTCTTAGTGCAAACTGTACAGTAACGTATTGTTCTCAGCCCTCTGTGAGACTCAGGTTTCACCTATTTCCATACTGCTTCTGACACCCAATTATGGCTAATTTTTTCTAGCTATTTTACATCATTAGCCTATATAGTTTCCCCCTTTATCTACCTCAATCCCTCCCCCCTACACCCAAAAAAAAATTAAAAAAAAAAAAAAAAGCAATCATTCATGCATGTTTCTGTCACACAGGATCAATGGACATTTAAGTTTAGAAGCCTAGACTCTAACAGTGCTTAAAAGAAAAAAGTGATTAATTTTAGTGCAAAGTAGACTACATAGTTTACACTTCAGCTAGATTTCTTTACATACATTTTTAAACACATTTAGTTCTGCACATCCAATTAGGTTGCCTGATGTTTTGTTCTAACTAGCTAGTCTGAATAGAGAAGCTGGAAGGATTAAGGATTCTTGGGGATTTCCTTTTAACAGGAAGTGAAAATAGGTGGGACGGGGTCGTACTGTACAAGATGAGCACAGCGGAGTCCTGGCTCCAGCTAGGCTTCCTCTGTGCTACAGCAATACAGGGAAATATTACCTAATCCACATCCAAAACTGATGGATCTACTTTAATAAGAGTCACAAATGAGCCCTGATTTTTAACCAGGCTGGTGCTTTACTTGGACTACGCTACAGCCTTCGCAATGAAGCTTGAAGCAAGCGTAACATTTATACTTACAAGTCCCATAACCATAAAGAAAAGCGTGCACTGAGAACCAAAATCCTAAGGGTCTTAGACAAGACTCCAGCTGGCTGAGAGGGAGCCTTATCAGCAGTGGTGGGGAAGAACTGGATAAAAAAAATAATAATCTGAGCCAATAATATCAGTCTGCCACAGTGACTATAATAAGCTATGAAATACAGTACACAGAAAAACAAAGTCACCTGAACAAATAACCCAGAGAGACTTCATAGTTATAATGATTTTTACCACTTTTAAGAACTCAACATATTAAATATTTATTAAAAATAAAGTGTTTCCAAATCACCTATTTACAGTACAAACAGCAGTATTCAATACTTGTGCAACAGAAAGGAAATAAAATCAGTACTCATCTGGAAAGACAACACTCCAGGCATAATTTAAGTGACATGAAACAGGTTCACCCTTTTAAAATACCATACAGTAAAAACCAGTAGGATGATATTGGCAACACTAGAAAATAAAGCACATACTGTTCCGATTCAGATTATATAAGCTTGAGAGAAACAACTGGGTGATAACGGGAGAAGGAAGAAACAAAGATGAAAAGAAGAGATGCTGTGGTGTTTGCATTTTGGAGATCAAGAAATGCATACACACTGCAAAAATGAGTCCTTGTTGGCAAAACAAGCCATTCACGTATTTCTTGCATGTTTTAAAAGTCATACTCTATCAAAAACTGGCAGTAGTTTCATAATCAATAGAAAATGAATTTTTTTTAATCTATGTTTTAAAGACTTGCATGGTTTTATTTGGGCAAGGAGATGACTACTGTAATAGAAAGGTGTAATGTCACTTTTCTAAAATACAAGAGCTGCCAAGTTTTAAAGAAAAATCTGTTCTTCTCTCCAATTTAAATTGAAAAGTAGCGATCAGCTAGAAGGTACCTAAATTATAGCAGCATGAACTCTAATGCATCTGCAGCATCTGTGAAGCCACAAAAAAAACAAGAACTGGCACCTGGTCACTGAATCATGGTTCCAAATATCTGGGCATATCAATTGCCTATGAGGTCAGTGTATTTTCTTATCAGTGGAGTCAGAACACGAGTTGTGGTAGCCCTTTCCCTTCCCCTTTGCCTCCCCCGCCAGAACAGACTCCTCAGGTCTATCTATAAACTACGTGGGACAGCTGGGCCGATTTGTAGTTTAGCTGGTTGTTGGGCATGAACCTGTGAAGCTCGCTTTTTCTACAGCACGGATCATAATAGTAAGCATTGAGGCAAGTGTCACATGAGACTTTTGAACAGAACGTGCAAGTGTTTGCAGCTCCAGAGCGGTTGCAAAAGCCACAGCGTGAGGAGCCCGAGGGTTTGGATTTGGAACCGAATTGAGCAGCTCTCTCTTGACTCTGAGTCTGTGATGTGTACTGAGATTTCTCTCTTAAAGCAGATGCAGGAGACAAGCCATCGTTTGGAAGGGGTTTGATTGAATAGGTGCTCTGTTTCACTGCTGGATATTCCTGCCTGCAGTTAAAGAGATTGTCACACTTTTGGCAAACAGAAGTGCCACAAGGTACGCCACAGTTCTGGCACTTGAGGGAGGCTGTCTCTTTGGCTAGATGCGTGCGTTTGTGGTAAACAGGGTTGGCATCACTTTTTAACACCCATACATCAGGCTTAATAGCTTCTTGTCTTTTAAAATTTAGCATACTTCTAGAATCAGGATCGGTATATAAATCTAAGTCGTCTTGAGCAGAAAAATAGGAGCTATAGGGGACATTTGTTCTTAACATGCCATTGTGATGAGATGAAGTTGGCAAAAACTCATCTGAACACCCATGTGGGGAGCTTGACATTGTCAGAAGTGAGGGTGAAGGACGGATAATTTCATCTTTAATGTCATCTTCTGCATCAACTAGAATTGGTTCTTTCCTGAGACTCAGTGAACTCATCAAAGGTGGTTTCTTACTTTCCCAATAATTATCGTATGTGTCCACTGATTTAGAAGGCTTGCTCACTTTGGGCTTGAAATAATCTTTAGAAGCCCTCTCACTTGCTGATTTCTGAAGTACCATGCGTGCCATGGAAGTATTTAAGTTTTCTTTACACTCTGCACGTCGTTTCATGGCTTCTGAGCAACCTCGAACATCTTCGCTGCTATTTTTTCGTTCGTTTATGACATCAATCTCTGAATAGCCTTTATCCTTCACTTGCAAGTGAATTTCAAGAAGCTGCTCACACTCCACTTTGGCCAAAAAGAGTTCAAACGAAATCATTTTCACTTGAATGGCATCGACCTGCTCTTTGAGCTTATACATTGTTCCCAGTTCTTGTACATAACCCATGTAGTTCAGAATCTGCCTTACATCATCTTCAGTTAAAGTAGATTTTACATAATAAACAAAGGGTCCTGTATAGGTCTGAGGAGGGAGGGGAAAAAATAGAGGAAGACTAGGTTACCAATTCTGTGGCAAACAGATGTTCACATAATTCATCGATGGATACTATATAATCAAACAGAAATAATAACCACAGTGAACACATGCAACTTTGGTGGCAAGATGAATCCCATTTCTGCATCCCTCCTGCTCAACAGATGGAAATTCTGCATGAAGCGAATTCAAAGTGGGAGAGTTTTCATTCAAACTGAAATCCTGATCAGCATAATGGCCTCCCTGTTGATTTAGATCAGTAAGCTATACACCGGCATTTACAGGCAATTCGAGGGAATTCTGCAACTTTGGCATGATTTGTTGACTAAATCTAGAGCTCTAACGAGATTTACTTAGCTCATATGTACTGCAGGTAATATTGCAGGCATGCATATGATAAGAACTGCTGTGAATAGTAAATTATGAAAGACAGAAGTTATCTAAGAATAGAAATAATTCTCTGGAACATGTTAGCCGTGCATATCATAATGCACTTATAGAAACATTCTGGGTCGATTTTAAACGGGGCTACTAGGTTATAAATCCATTTACCCCAATAAACTGAATTTCCCAATCTGAGGAATTCAACATTAGCAAACATGCTGATCACGCCTTTGAAATATCAGCACCGTCTGACTGCAGATCAGTCCTTAAAACATTTTATTTTCAGTTTTGGGCCCTCTTTGAATTATTCCAGACTAGATGCTTGCTTATGCAAAGCACTTGAGAGGAAGTTCTGAGGAGATTGTAAAAGCAGCTAAGACTAGTTTTAAGTTCAGAGGCACATGCCAAACCACAAGCAAAGCTTAAGTCCCTTACTTGAAATAGCAAAATGTCAATTTCACTGCAAAACTGGGATATTTCAGAATATCTGGATAGACTTAGCTACCTTCAGCATTAAGTACAATAACAACTTTTACCACTTTAGTATATACATAGTTTTGAACAATTGTTTTCTTTAATCTTAAACTAAGACAAGAATTTGCAGAGACAGAAAAAAGAAAAATAAAAAATGCTCATAGATACACCAATTTGTACAAGTTGGTTCCCTTAGCACCTGGCATAGCTGAGCTATGCTCTCACCACTGCTCAAACTGTTTTTGATTACAAGCAGGAATAGTTTGGCCATTGCATCCTTGGGTGGAACAAACATTAGATTGACAGTGCATAATCAAAGTCAACATCAGCAGCACATCGAGAGATATTCCAAACAGACCAGCAAGCGTTTCAAAAGCCTGAACTGAAGCTTAATGATGAAGCAGAAATATGCAGCGATCTTGAGAAATAGAAGTTTCCCCTTAAGAGAAACAGAGAACTCTCAAAAAATATTCCTTTCATGTTCAAATGAATTGCTAACTGTGAAACGGCATCTTTTCAGAAAGAAAAAAATGCGTTTTAGACACCTCTGCCAGAAATGTTTTTAATCCAGCATAGGTTTCAAAATATTTCTTTCAAGTCACCTGTAGCATTTATTATTGAAATGCTGCAGCAGCTTTAAACAAGCACATGAGGATCAGCAAAAGAAACATAGAAAATTGACAGCAGGTCACTAGCTGCCCTCCAGCATCCAAACCAAGCAATACAGGGATTCCTACATTTTCATTTGAGATCCTGGCATAGGTAAACAACCTAAAAGTACGTTATAGTTAAAGCTTCATGTGTTGAGAACTCACAAGCAAGTGAGAGAGATTCTTGAAGCTTAGAGATATTTGCTCATTGTCGTTATACAACTTCTGGGAACCCCAGCAATGCATCTAATTAAAAGCAAGGATCGACTGTTAGTATTTGTTAATATAAATTAATAGCAGATAGAGTATAAGGAACAAACTTGGAGCGAGCTTACAGGCCACCTGATCACTCTCCCTTGGAAATGCATCTCCAAGCAGAAAAGAAGGCATAGCAGAAGGACAGTCTGAACAAAACCATGAGGCAAGTTCTTCCCCTGTTTTACGGTTAATCTATGAACACAGACAGGACTGACTTATACTGTGGCTACTCTCACCAATATAAAATCCACGTCACCTTTTGAACCAACCTAACCTTTCCTACAACTTCTGTTTACAACTGTGTACAGTTGACAAATGTAAATATATATACACACACACATTACATTGTCTTAAGAGATGGAAAGAAAATTTTTAAAGGAATTGCATGAAACATGTTCTAAAAAATCATATTCTTACTATTCCACATATAAGATGTCTTACCTTGATATTTTTGAACTCCTTTTTCCAGGGGTAAAGGAAGAGATTAATTCCAACTGTTTCAAGCATGCTGAATGCATTATGGAGAAAATGTAAACTTGAGGTTTTCAGAGATCTCAGGGAGTTTTCAGCCATCTCATAGAATTTTATCAACCGGAATCTATAAAAGGGATCAATTTTGGGAAGGCAAAGTAAGGCCGACGCCGCCACTCGCAAATATTCATCATTAATAGGACGCTGCTTGCTGTCAGGAGCATTCAGTTTGCACTCATGGAACTGTACATACTTCCTAAATAAATCGTCTTTATATTTTGTATCCATTGAAATCAGATTTTGTCTCACACTTGGCAGCTACCTCGTCGCGTTCATGGTTCTTCCGCAGTAGGTTGATTATCTGGCATTACGAATCTTCAGCAATGGCAACTCTGCTGGAACAAAAAATTGAAAAAAAAGGACAAGTCAATACGGCTGCAAAAATCCCAGGTGTTGATAGCACCCATTTGCCTCACAGGGCCCTATAAAATGGTTCACACCAGTAGAGACTCTTTAGGGTTCTGGGCAAGCACTAAGTTGCTCTACACAAACTTGGTATCCTCCTTCCCCTACCGCTCTCTACTTCTGTCCTTGAGCACTTGTCACAGGAGAGCGAAATCGGGCACGGTACTGACAACCTGCTACTAGAGAACTGGTGGAGACTCAACTCCAGATTGAGGATTGCTTGGCCAAGAGAACAAAAGCAAAGGTATCTCACAGCATAAGGCTGACAGCAAGAACAGGCATTTTTAGGGTGTGTGTTTGTTTGCAAAACTGCTATCTTTTACATACTGCTGACTGCATTTTCATCTCAGTGAATTCTTGTCTCCTACCCAGTAAAGGGCCAGTAAAAAAAAAGAAGGTTCCTAACGCCACCAAAGCCAAGGCAACCAGCAGGTCAACAGACTCCATAGAGACTGCTTGAGGAATTGTGATCAGAAAGCAGATCACAGGCCTTTTTTTAAAAAAAATAGTATTTTTACTTAAATGAAGGCACAATCCTAGTCTTGACTCTTCCCAGCTCCAAACCAATGCAGAAAAAAAACCCAGCTACACTTAGTCTGAAACAGCCTTTTAGGAAGACTTCCCACCCGATATACATTTCAACAACTATAATATTACTGTTTATTTTAACAGAAGCCTGTAAAGACATTGAAAAACACTCTTGAGCGCAACATGAATGAGGGGAGCCATAGCACACATGCATGGCAAGGGGGAAAAGGGCAGAAACCACAAAATGAACAGCCAGCGACTAGCCCTGCTTGCTGAAGGGATGAGCTCAGTGACAGCACTGCGCAGGGCAGCTCAACAGCAGCCCAACTCCTGCCCTGGGGCCCTCCACGGGCAGGACCGCGCCAGCATCAGGGCAGGAGCTGCGAATCCCAGGAAACCTGGAGCTCAAAATTAGCATCTTAGCACAAGAAGCAGAACTGCAGTTCGGCCCTCTCTGCAGACAGATCACTTCTCTTTCCTCACAGATCTCCCTCTCCTGATTTGTTTACGGCGAGGCCCGCGGACAACAGGTTCTGTCAGGCAGCAAGAAGAGCGCCGAGGCGCTGTGAGGCGATTCCCCGCGCGAGAGGGGGGCCGAGGAACGCCGCGGTGTAAAGTGGCGCTTTTCCCGCCCCTGCCGGCGCACGGGCAGGGG